CACCCTTGCCCTCTTCACTCGAGAGGGGTGGGTTCTCTAATCTTTGTAACAACTTGAACTTCTCATGCAGTGAGGCCTTCCCCCAGCCAACCTCAGGCGGGGGTCCTCACCCTGCAGGATTAGGGTCATGGGTGGGTTCGGGCAGGGCAGAACAGAGGGTACAGTGCTACGCCCATCCTTTACCCACTCTCTCCAGCTACAGTTCCTCCCTGAGATGGACCCCTTGTGGTGGTAGGTGGGGAATCAGTTGCCTGAACTCTTTCCATAATGAGCTCAAACACTGCCTGTCCCCATACACACTGGTGACGCCAGCCATCCAGCTGCTGCTCCTGATGGCATGGCCTTCCACCTTGTGGAAGGGTACTTAGCCATCTGGGCTCAGCTGTGTCTGGGTCCCACTCAGCACTGTCTTATTCCAGGTGGGGATGCAGAGTCTGGACACCCAGGCTTCGAGCACTCCAGACACCGACAGTATTATAACCCAGCCTGGTCAACACCAGCTAGTCACAAAGACCAGCAGAGACCTGGGGAGCTGGGTTTGACCCGTGCCTACCCATGCCAGGCAGAAGCCCAACAGCCTAGCCACGTCTCAGCCTGGGCCAGAGAGGTGGCAATGAGCCCCGACTGACAGAGTTTCTGTGACTGAGTGTGTTTCTGTTTTCAGGATCTGCAGAGCCTTGGTTCCATCGGAAGCCTGGGCATGAGAAAATACTGTGCACACTTGGAAGCTTTTCACCGAAGGGCAACAGACAGGAAATGCATCTTCGTGGAGGCACCATAAAAAATAGCTGCTTTTGGAATGAGTGTGGCCTGGGAGAATATTGTTCTCACTGCACGGGAAATGAGCTTACCCACCAACAGGCAATCAATCCACTTGCTGAAGCCTCCAAGAGACACTCATCAGAACAAGTCCCCATGACCTACAAAAGGGAGAACCTAGCAGGCCCCACAATGGAGACCTGGAGTGGATGCCGGACACAAGAATGTCCTCATCATCATTTATGCCCCAGCCAGCTTCTCATAGAGTCATTGGAGAACATGAAAAAGCCTACACCACACCCAGCCAGAACCACTTATCAACCCCTCAAAGCCATGGGTAGGGGTCATGTTTGTTTACCGCACCCAGAAGACTCCTGAGTAGAGGTCAGGGTGCTCTGAATTCCACCGTCTTAAATGCTTGCATCCAGTTCCTGATTTTTCAGGGTTCAGACAGTCTCCATGAATGCTTTATGTTATGATAAGTTTAGGAGTTGTGGGGGGAGGCCTCGCTGGCCAGAGCTCAGCGTGGCTGCTGTGACGAAGCCCCTCACAGATGAAGAGCAGCAGCTTCTCCCAGTCAACAGAATGGAGCCTCAGTCTGAAGACCAAAAGTCCACAGCCACGGTGTCTCAGGGTTGGCGCCTCCCTATCTGGCTTGCAGACACTGTCTTCTCCCGGTCCTGATCCCTCTGCCTGTCTATCTCAGTTTCCTTCATAAGGGCACCAGACATGTTGGATTGGTGCACCCTCATAACATCATTTTGACTTAAAGGCCTGTTTCTAAGTATACATTTTGAAGTTGAATCTGGGTACATCAAAGTGGGTAGGGACCTAACTTAGCCCATAAGTCTCAATTCATCCACCCAGCTGGCCATTCGGTCAGGTGTCAGGCTGGGGCGGAGTACTTGGTGCAGGGTACTCTGCACCTGACAATGCACGTGAGCAGCATCCAGGCTTCTTGCACCCTGAGTCCTCAGCTGTCCCTGCATGGCTGGTTCTGTCCCTTCATGGCTGGTTCTGTCCCTGCATGGCTGGTTCTGTCCCTGCATGGCGGTTCTGTCCCTGCATGGCTGGTTCTGTCCCTGCATGGCTGGTTCTGTC